GCCCCCAGACTCCAGGCTCTTCATGCTCTCTCATCATTGGGTCTCAACTATAGATGCTTTAAGTCAGCTGAGGAGCTTTAATAAAATCCATGAGGGGCTTCACCGAAACTAATAAAATCAGAAGCAGGGCAGGGAGCCTGCTGTGTTTATTACCTTCACCACCCCCATCTAGATGGCTTTGTGCACAGCCCAAGTTGGGAAACCTGTGAGTTGTGTCCACTTTCCCTCCCTCATCTCTGCTATGAACTGCCCTGCTCTGCATCCTTATTTAAAAGGCATCTCTTTAACTGTTGTTGCAAATCTGTGTGGAAATTCTTTAAAACATTTTAAGTGACTCATTAATTCAGTCAACTAGAGTTTATATTTTTAAGGTTATTTATTTATTTATTTATTTTTAGAGACAGGGTCTCTCTCTGTCACCCAGGCCAGGGTGCAGTGGTACAGTCGTAGCTCACCACAGCATCAAACTCCTAGGCTCAACCAATTCTCCTGTCTCGGCCTCATGAGTAGCTGGAACTAACTACTGAGTTGCTGTACAGCACCAAGACTCCAGGGTCTGGTGACTTTTTTTCTTTCTTTTTTTTTTTTTTTTTTTTTTGTAGAGACAAGATCTTACTCTGTTGCCTAGGCTGGTTTCAAACTCTTGATCTCAAGTGATCCTACTGCCTTGGCCTCCCAAAGCTCTGGGATTATAGACATAAGCTGCTTTACCTGGTGCCATTTTTTAAAAAATATCCAACATATAGGTGAGTCAGCATTTTAAAAATCCTTCCTTGATGATGGAAATATAAATCATAAAAAATCCTGGACCCAGAATTATAAACGTGATTTTCTCTTTAGAATTCAGTATTTGTGCACACAAATAACATTTACTAGATAATTATAATGTAAAAATCATCTGATGATTGCAGCGATGTTTTGAAGATGAAATAAGAGGACTACAATAAAAGGTGGTGTGGTGAAGAGTAAAGACTGTACTATATTTTCATCTGCATAACAAAGACATTTGAATATTAAATTCTAAAGCATGCAGTCAATTAAGTCTAATGTTAAAACAATAAATGGTAATGGTTAAAAAAAAAAGCACTGGGTATTTATAGTTTTATGGGATGGGAAAACCAGTCTACACAAACACTAAGTAGTGGAGCCCTGACCTTGCACCAGTCTACCCTCCACAGACTTTGGTCACAAACATGTGAAGCCACATGTGCTTGAAAGAGCACCAGGCATCCTGGGTTGCACAAGAGAAGAATGCACTGGAGAGGGTTTGTAATCACCTTTTTTCCCCTACAGTAAAATATCTTTTTTAATGGAAATAGCAAAAAACTGTATAGGCAGCCTGGTGCAGTGGCTCACACCTGTAGTCCCAGCACTTTAGGTGGGCAGATCACCTGAGGTAAGGAATTCGAGACTAGCCTAGCCAACACAGTGAAACCCTGCCTCTACTAAAAATATAAAAATTAACCAAGCATGGTGGTGCACACCTGTAATCCCAGCTAATTTAGAGGCTAAAGCAGGAGAATCACTCAAACCCAGGAGGTGGAAGTTGCAGTGAGCTCAGATTGTGCCACTGCACTCCAGCCTGGGCCACAGAGTGAGATTCCCTCTCAAAAAATTAAATTAAGTTAAATTTAAAACTCTATAGGCAAAAGTTTCTTGTTGCAACATGGGTCATTAAGAGCAAAACTCTCAATCGGTATCTTTGAAATAACTAAGTTTCCAAAAGCATCACTTTAAGGTCCTTATTCATGGGACACATTCACCACGAGCCTACTCTCTCACCAGCCAGCAACTCAACCTCATTACACAGTAGTCCAAGTACCAAGGGATCGGTGAATCAAATGGATGGATTTGGAAAAGTTTGGTGGGGAGAAATTAATGAATTAATGAAATCAACCCAACTATGGTGGGAAAAAAAGAGCTCTTGTGAAGCAGAGCAGAAAATTATTTAGATGGCTATGTACTTTATACATTGTTTATAGGCATGAGCTTGGATATAGTGGAAAGAACATTGGAATTAGTGACTTCAGTTCCAGTCTCACCCATAATATGTGCTGGTTCTGTGCCTCAGGCAAGCCTCTGAATCCTTCTGAATCTCCGTTTTTCCAATTCAAAAAGGGGGGTAATAGTACCTACCTCACTAGATTATAATGTAGATCAAAGGAAATAACAGGTAAAGAAACCCTTTAGAAATTACCTTCACTGGACAATAGGCCATCTAGAAATGGTATAATCATATTCCATGCTGTGAAAATTTCTAGCTTAGAATTTTGAGCAATTAGGTGCTCCACAGCAAAATAAGGGACTTGGAGAACTTGGAGAAGGTTCATAAGACAGCCACAGAGATGATTAAAGAGACTGAAAATCAAAATCATGCTTAGGAAAAGTTAAAAGAACCGGGTTCATCCTGCTTTGGAGAAGACAAGTCTACAGGAAAATTATCATTGTTTACAAGTACACACAGCCTGGTGTCCAGCTGTTCCTTCCAACTGACGAAGAAAAGAAAGTATCATAGACCCTCATCACTGGCAGATTTGACATGTGAGGTTTCAGATCACTGTTTGTGCCTCTGGAGGTTCATGACATGTCATAATTTGTATTTTCATTTAACCACAAATTGTAACCACAGGTGTATGAAGGGAGCCCATGAGATGATCAGTGACTGAGTCTATTCAACTACCCAATGCAGAAATCTTAATGGGAGCGGGGTGTGGAATCACTTCAGCACTTTGGGAGTCCAAGGCTGGTGGATTATTTGAGCCCAAAGGGTCGAGACCAGCTTGGGCAACATGGTTACACCCCATCTCTACAAAAAAAATACAAAACATTAGCTGGGTGTGGTGATACATACCCGCAGTCCCAGCTACTCAGGAGGTGGATGGGAGGATCATTTGAGCCCAGGAAGTCAAAACTGCAGTGAGCCATGATCATGCCACTGCACTCCAGCCTGGGTAACAGGAGGGAAACTGTCCCCAAAAAAAAACATACAAAAAAATTAGCCAGGCGTGGTGGCATGCACTTGTATTCCCAGCTACTCAGAGGGCGAAGGCAAAGAATTCCTTGAACCACGGAGGTGAAGGTTGAAGTGAGCCGAGATCCTGACATTGCACTCTAGCCTGGGTAACAGAGCAAGACTCTGTCTCAAAGAAAATTATATTAATATTTTCTGTTATTATATTGTATATTCTAGATTATCTTTAATATATACTACATACTATACAGTTTCAATATAATATCATTAGAAATGATATTATCATTTAATTATGTAAACAAATGGTCAAATTATCACTAAAATAGCAAGAGGCAAAAGAGTACAGTGCCAGAACTCATATTCTGAAACCAGACACCCAGGTTCAAAGATGGGCCTTAGAAGTACTTGCTGTGTGATTTGGTCAGGTATCAAATCACATAGTTATAGAGATAAGAACATCACCCAGGGCTGCTGTGAAGAAGTGATGAGATCACATGTTTCAGGTCATCAAGTTACAATCACATTCTGGTATCTGCTCCTAGACTAGAACTTCTGGCAGGATGAAGGCCAAGCAACCAGACCAGGAACACTGGACCAATGAGGAAACGGCACATAGTTTCAACTCAAGCACTGCAGTACTCCCGAGCTGTCAGGGAGAACTCAGATGTGCTGAGTGTTTCTGAAGGAAACAAAGTGTTCTTTCTATAGACTAAAATTTGATAAGGATGAACTATAAGATCCAGGGAGGCTTTGCAAAGAAACAAGTAGCACAGAAAGTGCTTCAGAGAAATCTTACTGGCAACAATGAGATTGGGTGACTCTAGAAGAAATTTCTTTGCCTTTCTTGGCACTAAATACTGAAGGATCAAATGAGCATAACAGACACATGAAAGTACGGTTGACCCTTGAACAACATGGGGATTGTTGTCATATAAGTTTTGACTCAAAAATGTAACTACTAGTAGCCTACTGTTGACTGGAAGCCTTACTGATGACATAAACAGTCAATTGACAAGTACTTGTATGTTATATGCATTGTATACTGTATTCTTACAACAAAGTAAGCTAGAGAAGAGAAAATGTTATTAAGAAAATCATAAGGAAGAGAAAATACATTTATAGTACTATGCTGTATTTATCAATAATAGAAGTTTGTTGTGGTCTGTTTACAAGATGAATCATCTGTCGAAAAACTGACGACTGCAGTGCAGACCTCAGTCTATGGTACAGATCAAGCAATTCAACTTTTTCTTGTAATGACATGACTTCCCTCTGCTTTTTGGGAGCACATCCAGCATCACTAGTGATACTTCATATGCATTCCACCGGGTTATGAAGGGTTTACGGTATTGCACTAAACACGATGAAAATACACAAGAACTTCAAGAGATCACCTTTTAGTGTGATACAAAATTGACCAGGGAGAGGAACTGCTCACGGGGAAATGATTAGCATCACACTGCATATTTTATTATTACTATTATTTTTAGATGAAGTCTCACTCTGTCACCCAGGCTGGAGTGCAGTGGCTTTATCTTGGATCACTGCAACCTCTGCCTCCTGGGTTTAAGCTATGCCTACAGAGTAGCTGGGATTACAGGTGTGCCAGCACGCCCAGCTAATTTTTGTATTTTTAGTGGAGATGGGGTTTCGCCATGTTGGCCAGGCTGGTTTCGAACTCCTGGCCTCGAGTGATACACCGACCTTGGCCTCCCAAAATGCTGCATGCAGCATTTTAAGTGAATACTTGCAACACTTAAGCTCACGGCGATAGCAACAGGAAATCGCTATGAAATTATTGCAGTAGTATGGCGTTACTACAGTTAATTTTATGCAGTTATAATTCAATACTGCATTTTTACATTTGTTTACATTTCTCTCGACTACAAATGGCATCATATACAATCTATAAGTGTATGCACAAGTTTTGATGAATTTTAACTTTTTATAATAAATTTGTGTATATTTTATGGTGGTAAATTATAAAACAGACAAGTATCTACATATATTTTCTGAATTCATGACATACCTTACAATTTCTTAATGTTTCCAATATTTCTAGGCTGTGTTCGTTGAGTTTTTTCAAATGATTGCAAATCTCAAAAAACATTTCCAATATATTTCTTGGGAAAAAATCTGCAAATAAACAGATCCACAAAGTTCAAACACATGCTCAGGGGCACTGTACCTATTTTACATCCTGATCAGGATGCCTTATTTAAAACATACTTACTTTACGTTAAAACGACGCTCTGAATGAAGAGACCACCCAAATAGGCTCTGTGTGATTAACATGGCTGTTTATTCACCGCTGAGTCAGTGGAGGGCAGTGGGATAGAAGCTAGTTTTATATGTTTGCAGTAGGCAGTGTAAAGTTACAGAAGTTACAGTTTAGGGTGGTCTTTTGCAAGCTGGGAGGGGATCGTAAGGTCTGGAGTCACAAAGTTGACCAAAGTTGGTTACAAAGTTGACCAAGGTTGGTTACAAAGTCCAAAGGCCTTGTCAATTGAGGCAGGAATAAGAAACAATAGAAGAATGTCTCAGGTTAGTTAGGCTCCGAAAGGGTTGTCTTCCACTTTTCATGGTCTTCCAATTCCTTCACGTTTTCTAATTCCAGAAGGCCCTCCAGAGGTGTACATGTGCGCCATGGCTCCATCGGTCAGCCCAAAAGAACTTACACTTTATTTTTTAATTATGAAAAAAGTATTTACCATGTTGATTTCATTTGTTCAGATATCAATGTGTTGTAAGATTATTCTTGCCCCTAGAAAGAAGAATTTAGGAGCCATCTCCTATCAATTACAGGAAAATAGCATAAGTAAATTCCCACACTGCTATTATTAACACCGCTCATTGATCCACCAAGGATTATCTGCGGTAACATATCTCCCTCCTGCCTCAAGCTTCTGAGCTATATCCTGCCAACAAGAGTATATGTCACATTGAGAAATACCAACAGATTTAAACAGATTTAACAAAACCTAATTAAGAAGTTCAAAAGTCCTTCCTAAAATATAGATGCTGTCTTCTAAAGTCAAATTAAAATCATTGCTTATATCTGTTCTGATGACTTTTCTACCAGTGTGCTAGAACCCACCAGAATTCTCCTGCATTGTCAACAGAGCTGGTGACATCTTTACTTAATTTCCCTCTATCATCTCTACCCAACTGTCCTAAAACATTGCCCTTCTCCCTTAACTAGTTCATACTTTTTTTTTTGAGACGGAGTTTCGCTGTTGTTACCCAGACTGGAGTGCAATGGCACGATCTCGGCTCACCGCAACCTCCGCCTTCTGGGTTCAAGAAATTCTCCTGCCTCAGGCTCCCAAGTAGCTGGGACTACAGGTGCGCACCACCATGCCCAGCTAATTTTTGTATTTTTAGTAGAGACGGGGTTTCACCTTGTTGACCAGGATGGTCTCGATCTCTTGACCTCATGATTCACTCGCCTCAGCCTCCCAAAGTGCTGCGATTATAGGCATGAGCCACCGCACCCTACCTAGTTCACACTTTTAACCACCCTATTCCAACAAATACAAACCCTTTAGCACACAGTGTCTTGCAGATACGAGGGGATCCATAAATTATCTTTAAATGGCTGAAAGATTGAGGGGTACCCTGGACTTCTCTGCCTCTCTAGTCTCCTCTTCCTCTCTGCCTCTTATGCACTCCCCTCCAGTCACAGTGACTCCTGTTTCTCAAACACACTAAGCAGCATTCCAACCTCAGGGCCTTTGCACTATCTGTTCCCTTGAGATCAATACCATTTCCCACCACAACCCCTTCCCGCCTGGCTAGCCAGAGCGCCAGAGGCAGGCGGGACGCTGGGCGCCTCTAGTCTTTCATAGCCCCGGGAAGCCGAGGCCGCGGCTCCCGGAGACCCTGGCGGTGGTCGGATGCGCTTCCATGGCGGACTCTGCACGCCAGTTGGGAGAACGGAAGGTGAACTCGGGGACACACGGCTGCCTCAAGGCCCCTCGTCGCTGTCCACCCAAGGGTCCCTGAGCCCCTAAGGATGCCAGCTATCAGCGTCTCCCGGATGGTACTGTAGCGACTTCTCGGCCCTAGGGCCCCTCCCACTGCGGCAGCTCATCAGGGAACTCACCTCCTCCGTGGCGCAGGTGCGTCTGGGAGATGGAGTGCAGCGCCTGGTGCAGACCGGGGGACGTTGTCGCGCAGGGACTACAACTCCCAGAAGGCACCGCCCACTCAGGCTGCTCAGCGTCCCTCCTCTGGCCTCTACTTTGGTTTTGCTCTAGTCGCCTCAGTCGGATGGCGGTGGACTGGCCTTCTCCAAAGCTGCGGAGCTGGTTGCACTTCCTGCTGAGGCGCCAGTGACATTTCAGTCATTATTCCATAAACAAAGTCGTTTTGTTTCTAGCCGTGATCGATGAAGTACGCTGAGGGAGGAAAGAGGAGGCCGCTGCCTGAAAAACTGGTTGCTCGTGCAACTAGCCCTGTTAACCGGGGAGAATGTTGGGCATTTGGGACTTTGAGGAAGTACTCAGATCCCTGCCGAGGAGACGGGTCAGGACACGAAAGCTCATTTTTCCCTTGCAACAAATGTTCTGTTCTTTTTGGAGGTAATGCATTTCAGAAATGGCTTGCAGGTGACTTAAGAACAGCTGCACTGCCCTCAGATCACCTGCCTGAGTTGTAAGTTAGACTCAGCTGCCTCCTTGAGACCAAGCGACAGGTGACCCACAGCTTGGAGATTTTGCCGCGCTGGCTTACACCTCTGCGAAACAAGACACTTTAGTAATCTCAACTATTCTGTCTCCACCTAAAATTAAAATTCCCTACTTCCGCCAGATTACATTCATTTGTTAAAGAGGTGCTGCCAGAAGAAGAGAGGGTAAATGTGTCCCTCTTTCAGAAGGAATTAGAGCCTTCGCGTTTTCCTCTGACTCTTTTTTTGCCTGAATACCTTTCTACTCTTCTAGAAATTACTGTTCTCTGTCTTCTGTCTCCAAAAACAAACACCAAAGTTCCAAGTAGCAATCCCTTGATTTAATAAATGTTATCCTGGCCATACCCTGCTGCCCTACTATGTGAACTATAGCAACATTAGGAACAAATACCATATATAAAAATACATTAAGGGGGACGGGCACTGTGGCTCACGCCTGTAATCTCAGCACTTTGGGAGACCGAGGTGGGCGGATCACAAGGTCAGGAGATCACCAACATGGTGAAACCCCGTCTCTACTAAAAATACAAAAATTAGCTGGGCATGGTGGCGTCCACCTGTAGTTCCAGCTACTCAGGAAGCTGAGGCAGGAGAATCGCTTGAACCTGGGAGGTGGAGGTTGCAGTGAGCTGAGATCGCGCCACTGCACTCCAGCCTGGCGCCTGGCAACAGAGCGAGACTCTGTCTCCAAAAAAAAAAAAAAAAAAAAAAAAGGATAAAGAAAACAGCCATCAGAAGAACTAAAAGAATTTATTTTAAAAGACCTTTTTCTCTTTCATTCACATATATTGGAATACCTATAGGTGCCAGACACTGTTCTAAGTGCTGGGGATACAGCAGTGAATAAGACAAAGCCTGTACTCAAGATGCTTATATGACAGTTGGAAGAAACAGACAACGAGCACAAATAGAGCAATCTCAGGAACTGCTGTTAATAATTCAGTCATGAAAACAAGCAGGACAGTGTGATAAATGTAGGTGTGTTATTTTAGCTTTTTGTGGGGATCTTGGAAGGTCTTCCTGAGGAAGTAACATTTAATCTGAGTCCTGAATGACAAGAAGGATTCATGGAAAGGCCTAGAGGAAGAACATATCAGGTAAAGGAAAGAGGGCAAAAGCCACAAGAAGCAAATGAACTTAGCCATTGCTCTAGGCCTTGTCAATATTTCTTAACTCTAGATGCACATTTCAAATACCTAGGGAGATTTGTAAATTATGAATGACTAGACCTCATCCCCATACCAAATGAACAGAATCTCTGGAGTAGGGCCTAACCATGGTTGTTTTTTTATTTTTGTTTTGAGACAGTCTCACTCTGTCACTCAGGGTGGAATGCAGTGGTGTGGTCTTGGCTCACTTCAACCTCCACCTCTCAGGTTCAAGCGATTTTCATACCTTAGCCTCCTGAGTAGTTGGGATTAGATTACAGGCTTGTGCCACCACACCTGGCTAATTTTTTGTATTTTTCAGTAGAGATGGGATTTTGCCATGTTGTCCAGTCTGATCTCGAACTCCTGGCTTCAAGTTGTAAGGGTTATTGCCAAGTTTAAAATGAGGAAACTGAAGCCAGTATAAGAAAATTAAATGCCAATTTATTCAGCTCCCAGGCGAGGTTCTATGGTCCGGGGAAATGGGGCCAGAGAAGTAGCGGTGACTTCCTGGGGCATGGGGTTTTTATGGCTATGAGTAAGGAGCAACAACTGGGTGCTCTGACTGGCTCCAGGGGAGCGGGATTGGGACAGGGCAGGCTGCCATTGGTTGGCGGGTAGTTGGGCGGGTTTTCCAGTGTGAGAGCTGGCCAGGGTTGCCTCAGCCAGAGCTTTCTAGGGGAGCCATGTGCCAGAGCTAGGTGCCAAGTGCAGAGCCTGGTGCCGGGTGCAGAGTCAGGTGCTGAGTGCAGAGGTGCGTGTGTCCGGCCTCCTGGTGAGGCAAGCAGCCTTACATTCCGACCCTTTTGATGATATAGGACACTGCTTCTTTCTGGCTACTTCCTGCTGAGTAGGGGCAGAGTGAGGGAGAAGGGTCAGTTGGCTGGTGCCTTGGTTGGGAGTTGGACATAGGGGTGAATTAGCATCTGGTTTACGGCCACCCTGGAAATTTCTCTCTTGCGGGCCTGTAAAAACCTGAGGAAAAAAGGGTCTGGCATTAACAGAAGACAAACTATGATGATGGGAGTGATAATAGGGGTTAGCCAGGTTAGCATGGGAGATTGCCACCAGTTAAGAGGCCAGATTGATGCATTCTGCTTCTTGTGGAGGTCCTCTTGGAGGCGACATAGAGTGTTGACATTTTCTTCTACAAGGCCTGTTTCATTGATGTAATAGCAGCACTCCTCCTGAAGAAACAGGAGGATGTCTTTTTCTGATGTCAGCAGTTTAAGGGCTCTTCGGTTTTGGAGAGTTTCCTGGGCCAGTGACAAGATTTGTCCCTGGAGGGAGGCCAGGGAGATGGCCGATGCTTTGATAGCCACGCGAAGCTTGTCCTCTAGTTGAGTGGCTGAGGTGACGCTGTAGCCTAGGGCACGGCTACCCAGGCTGGCCGCCACCAGAGAGGATGCTAGAGAGAGAGACCAACGACCATTGGGAGGAAGACTGCTCATCTGTCTTGGTGATTAGGGGAGGGTAGAAGGAGGGATAGAAGTTCGGGCTGTCCATATACCTGTAACTGCAGGACCAAGGTGACAGGCACACAAGGGAAAGGGAAGGAGGCATTAATAACTTTAGTTAAGTTTCCATTACACCAGAAATATCCTCTTGGTGGTGCGTAGAGGGAGGATTTTACCTTTACTATGGTGTTACAGCTGGGACTGGAGCTGCTGGCTGTCTCATAGCAGAGAGAGAAATTTTGAGGGTGTACTTGGAACAAGGAGATATCTGTTAAGATGGTGTCAGGTCCCGTAGGTGATTGTGACAGATTAAACCCGGACCTGAGGGGAACTGCAGCTAAGGGGGGGTTGCTAAGAGAGGCACATAAAAAGCAGTTGGTGATATTCATGGTTTTAGTTAAATTTAACATGTTGGCTCCCTGCTGTACTAGAGTCAACCAAGAGAAAGACTGAGAGGTGTTATCTGAGGGTTTGGTTAGTTAGGATAGCTTCATTTTACAGGATTGTATGGCTTACAGAACTGAGCTGTTCTATTGCTTCAGAGACAATGCGGGTATAGGACCGAAATATTAGCCATGTTCCCTGAGGGTGGCTCCAGGTATAATCTTCACAGACTTTACCAGACACTCCTGTATCCTAATGGCTGTGCCGGGGTTGCGGATGTTGAGGGCTAAGGAACGATTGCTGAAGTGAGCGAGCATGTGGTTGGGATGGCTTGGAGGCTGTGGCTTGTGAATAACACAAGAGTTGTATGGGCACCCTCCATAGGTGATGTTCCACCAATGACAGTAGTCCTTGGTTTGGTCATATAGAAAACACAGCCCATGCCGAAAGTTAAACCCATGATTGCGACCGAGTACGGTGCTTTTACCATGTGGGATGAGGATGGAAACAGTAGACTGACCGTTGCCTGTTTGGCAGTTTGCCTGTGCAAGATTATGGGTCCTGGTGGTAGGGCCCTCAGTCCAGGATTCCTGGGTTGCAAGGATCCTGGTTTGAGCTCTTGGAGGAGAAAGCTGTCACCGAGAGGTGCTGCCAAGTGGGGGTCCTCTGGTCCTAGAACCACAGGGAGAGTGCAGTCAGTATGCTCCCTGAGTACTTGGTGGAGGAGAGAGAGAAACGAAAGGTAGGAGGCCAGTGGTGGTGGTCACGTGGGGAGATTATGGGAAACCAGGAAAGGCTGGCCGTACAACAATTCAAAGGGGCTGAGCCTGTTGGCCCCCGTGGGGTGGCCCGGATATGGGCCAGGGCAAGAGGTAGGAGTGTGGGCCAAGAGAGTTTTACCTCAATAGCAAGTTTGGCCAAATGGTCTTTGAGGATGCCGTTGGCCTGTTCAACTTTACCCGATGACTGAGGATGGTAAGGGATGTGTAGCATCTAGATGTTGAGGGACTCGGCAAAGAGCTGGACTACTTGGGCAGTAAATGCTAGACCATTGTCCAACAGGATGGTGGCAGGTAGGCCGAAGCGAGGGATGATTTCTTGTGTAAGAAATATCCCTAGCAAATAATTGCCACTGTGAAGGCTAATACCATAGTCTTTGGTTACTTAAAATCTAAAGTCTTGTTATCTTTAGGCTTAAAAGAAATTTGTACTTGTAGTTTTTGGAGCAGATTCCTCCCCAACAAAGGAACAGGGCAGCTGGGAAGATATAAGAACTTGTGCCACACCTCTTGCCTTCCAGTGACATATTTTGATTGGCAAAAGGATTTTTTTTTGTTCATTTTTACCTGATACTCCTAGAGTCACAATAGTAGTAGTGTAAGACAGTGACCCACCAGTTTGGATCATATCCCACCACTAGGTATTGCATGGGGGTAAACCGCATGATCTTTATAGACCATTCTCCAGTCTAGGCCAGGTTTTAGACTCTGGTTTAGGTATATTTTTTTCTTGCTCTCTTCCATGTCCTCCTCCATCCTTTCATTGTCCCCACTTTTCTTTTGACTAAGGCAGATGCTAGTAAATCTGCCTTTTCCTTTGCCTCATGCCTTGCCCTTTTCTTAGCCCCGGTCCTGTGCAGGGAGGGCACAAAGCAGCAGAGTGTCTGCAACCCACCTGCCACCTTTCCAATGCTACTACAAGATTTGCAAGAAGCAAGAAATGGTCATTTATCAGAATGATAAATTTATTTTTATATTTTTTTATATAAAGTGCTGCAGGCTCCAATGTTGCTCCTGGGCGTCTCAGGTTTCAATGTTCCTGGACCTCAGGGCCTTCATCCTCTCCAATCTAAATGCAGAGACATTTGACATGAACATGTTTTGCAAAATGCAATACGTTCTTATTGACTCTGGTCAACCTGCTGTGCACTAGAGTCAAACCTCTTCCTCCTGTCTAGACTTTGGTCCTTTGACCAATACCCCCCCATTCCCTCCCTCTGCCACTCTCCGGCCCTGAATCACCATCCCTCTACTGGCTACTTCAATGGGGTCAACTTGTTTAGATCAACACTTCCGGGGCATCACGTGGAATTGGTCTCTCTGAGGTGGTGGAGATGCTGAGTAGTGGGATTTCCTCATTCCACGGTGCACACATCTATCTAATCCTCACACTGCACCCCATGAATGTACAAGCATGATTTGCCAATTAAAACAATACTAACAAAGACAGAATAAATATAGTAAAATGCAAGAAGTTCGGCTTCACCGCCCACCTACTTACTTTTTCTCTTGGGTGGGCCCTCTTACTCTTTCTCTTGGGTGGGCACAGCAGCATCTCCTTATTATGGCAATGCATCTTCTGGCAGCCCTGCAGCAGCTCCAGCCTCTTGTTGGCTGGGCCAACACAGCCTCGGGCTGCCCAGCTTGGAGGATGCTGGCTTCCTGTACTGGTTGTTGAGCCAGGGTGCCCTGGGTGGTGATCTGGGTGGAGGAGGCAGCCGTGAGGTTATGCGGGAGGGCTGGCTGAGCCAAAGTTTCTAAATTTTCACTGCCGGTGGAGCACTTGGTGGAGGCTGCAGATACGAGGTCACGCTGGGGGGCTTGCTCTGCCAAGGTTTCTAAAGCACCACCACCGCCTATGGAGCTCACAATGGAGGAGGCCACACGGTCACACTGGAGTGCTTGCCATGCCAAGTTTTCTAAATCTCCACAATTGCTGATGGAGCGCTCGATGGTCAGGGAGGCCGTGGGGGCATGCTGGGGGTCTGGATTAAAACTCTCTGGCTTCCTGTGCAGGCCGGCAGGTGAACTGGAAGTTTGAGTCATAAAAGAACATGTGGGATCCCCAGGAGCAAGAGACTGTAGTGTGTTAGTGGATTGCTTTTTTTCTCCATCTAAAATAAGGTAGGTGGCCATGGGATAATAAATACGTTTTCTTCAATTGCCTTTGAGATGTTTTCTGCCTTCAATCCCATGGCCACCAAGAGCTGGATGGTTTCAGGGTTCGGGTGGTCTAGAATTTGCTCTTCATATGTTGGTGGAGGCAACTCCTGGCCGTTGTTCACCCACGGGTCCCTCATGACTTTGTCTACTGTCGGCCGCTCATTGGGATCAGATGTTAAGAGTTTTTTCATTAGGCTTTTAAGGCTTCTGAAAAGAAGTGCGGGCAAACATACTTTCCAGATATAATTATGGATTTGAGTTGCACAGCACTCACTGAGAAGAAGGGCAGAGTGTTGGACACCATCTCGAACAAAGTGACGCCTAGGCTCCAAACATCCATGGCGGGGCATTGGTAGCCCTGGCCCCCAAAGAGTTCTGGTGCCATGTAGGGGAGGGTGCCATGACCTACTGTCAGCCTCTGCCCCTCATAGTAAGTTGTTGTTGAGCCAAAATCTGCAATTTTTATATTTCCTTTCCCGTCCATCAGGATGTTGTCCGGCTTCAGGTCTCTATGCGATTCTTTTTCTGTGGACGTACCTCATGGTGGACAGCATCTGCTGGAACATGCCTCGGGCCTCCTCCTCCATCACAATGTTGTGTTGAATCCAGTCGGACAGGCTTCCTCCAGATGCATACTCCAGTATCAAGTGACACCCCTCTGTGGTGTTAATAATCTGATATAGTTTAATTATATTGGGGTGGTGCACCAACTTTAAAACAGTCGTCTCTCTGTGGCTAGTGAGGAAGCCAGTTTTGTGGATTGTTTTCACCACCACCCGGGTGCTAGTCATCAAGTGCTGGGCCAGCGTGACCTCACCAAAGGCACCACAGCCTATGAAGTCCAGTATTTGATAATACAATGGCCCCAGGGCAGGTGAGGTGGAGGCCAATCCCTGCTTCATGGTGCCTGATATCTCTCTACACCAGCTATACAACTACTCTAACTCTACTGACTATGCTAAAATACTAAGCAACGACACTGACTATACCAAAGTACACTAAAATACTAAGCAACAATACTGACTATATTAACTATGCTAACAATGCTAACTAGAAAAACACACCAACGCCTTTCACACAAAAACTCTCCCCCACCCCAAACACCCCCACACACAACCCTCTTCAAACACAGAAACACACACAGATACACACGCACATGTACACACACACACACACACGCCACACAACTCGCAATCGCTAAGCTGGTCTGAGTCCACAGGTCACCAAAGAAGCTTCCAGGGATATATCAGACCAAAAACCATGACCCAGCCAGGGCCTTATATAGGCCTGTCTGTTATGACATCACAAAGGCTTTTCATGAGCTCAGAGCAAAGCAGGGCCAATCATGGCTGGGGATCTTTCACAGAGGTTTTCTCTCTTTTGGTCCCCAAAACATCTTTCTCTTTTAAAAAGTAAGTGCTTTTGTCTAGATGGATTATAGAGATTGATATTTCGTTTCCCAGCTATTTAAACTGGTACAACACTTCAACAGCATTTTCATTTGTAGTTTCTTTTTCTATATTTATTGTACTCTTAAGTTCTGGGGTTCATGTGTAGATTGTGCAGGTTTGTTACATAGGTTTAACGTGCCATGGTGGTTTTCAATCATTTGTAATTTCAAAATCTGAAATAGCTTTTGGATTTTGAAGATCTCCTAACGTCTACATGCAAAATATTCAATTCCTTTTCTTTCATCTCTCAATGGTTGATCTCAACCATTCAGAAGGGAGAGAATATTTCCTTTCCTTGTAGGGTTTTTCCTTCCTCATGTGGTTGAGATTATGTAATGGACACAGAGGAAACAGACATACCCTACCCTCCATGAGCCCATAGCCTCTTCAGGAAGGCCCCCCAGCCATGAAGCTCCTTCAGCGTGAGAAGCACCAGGTGAAGTGGGGGCCAGAGAAGAGTGGCCTGGGCCTCAGGTCAGCGCTGGTGAGGGAAGAAGTGGGGCTTTCTGGAGGTCAGTGTGCTGAGCCCTGTGGTGTGAGGAGGGGTCGCCTAAGTGGCCAGGATGAATTGAGTGCATAGTGCCCAGAAAGGCAGAGCAGGTAGTGAGGCTGGAAGGGGAGGTTTGGTTCAAGTAGTGGAGCTCATGAAACCATGCTAAGGAGTTCAACCGTAGGTCACAGGCACTAGTGAGGTCTGGTCTCTGCAGCATTGGAGGGTCTCTGTGCTAGATACTCCTCTCTATATTCACTTTTTGACTCTATAGTTTGCATGTAAGGCTTTGTTTAAAGTTTGTTTTGTTATGTTTTTTAATGTGATATCCAATTTTGAAAATAGTCAAATGACATTTTTACCTCGTGTTATTAAATATTTTATAGTAATGCTGTCCTTATTTGCATGCTTGCCTCCTAAGGACACTTTTTTAGTTTGTACCCAAATTGCTCACCTGGTTGACTCTTGTTTTATTGCCTCCCTCGTTTTAACAAGAAAATATTTATTTTTATAAAATTCTACACTGCTCCCCTCTCCACCACACAGATTCTCCTCTGCTTTAGTGCTAGTGCTATTCCTTGATATCTACTACTTGTCTTCATGATTGTCTTCCTCTCTAAGCCAATGATCGCTCTTCATTCTCATGAGGGAAGTATCATGGCTGTCCAGGTCCCTGGACCTGCAAGACCTTACATCCCAGGGGATCATCACTATTAAGAGGCTTTTGAGTTTCACAGTTCAATATTTTAAGAAAAATAATCTGATTGGCTCAGTGTGAGTCAGGGGTCTATCCCCTGTCCAATCAGGTTAGAGGAGCTGGGCCATCTGGCAGACACACGTCAGGAAGCCCCTCTTCAAGCCAGGACCGTGGGGCACTTCCAAAGACCCGAGCACAGGCTGGTCACAAACCACAAGTATGCCTGCTTTATGTCCCTTCTTCAAACATGAATGCTTTTCTTATGGGGGCAGTTTCGTGGAAACTAAAGAACTAATAAGGAAAAAGAAATCCATTAACACAATTTGATTCTAACTGCATTGTCACTGATTGCAGTTTAATTCTGGATGGGTTGTTATTCTTAGTTAACCGGGAAGGAAAGATATAACAATTCAGGGTAAATGAGGGGATAGAACATAATTCACATTATTTTCTGATTAAAGTCTCTAGGCCTGAGTTAAAGTGATAATACCAGGAAAAAGTATGTTTTGAAAAGCAATTCAGTTTATCATATATGTAATCAAGATGTTATTGGGATTTCCATTCTTCTTAAGATCTATACGCCATGGCCTCACTCCCATTTCACACTTGTAAAAAGTCCAAAGTCTGCCCAGGATTCCTGTGGGTTCTTAGCCACCTTTGTCTCCAGGCTTCTGCTTTTACTGATTAATGCAGATTATGGATCAATGCACCACCTGTAGCTGCTGCCCATATCCCTTCCTTTTGCATTGCATTAAATTAAGATGTGTACTTTGTTTCTCTCTATCTTCCCACCAAATCAGAAACAACTCGTATAAGCAATAGTAGACTGCAATGAAGAGAAAGAGGATAGCACCCACAAACCAGGACCATCGTACAGCTGCCCCTGCAGGTGTTCAGCCCAGAGAGAGAGGGCTCTGCCTTGAGTTCAGCAGCAGCCCCCAGAGAAGGGGAAGCTGGAAATGGAGAAGTGAAGGCTGGGAAATGGCCAGGCCTATGGATGCCATTCAGCAGAAGCCAAGAAGGCAGGAAATCAGATGCAGGGGCCTCCAGGGTCATTGCCATCAGACATCTAGAAGTCAGGAGAGCAGCACAGCCATAGGAAGCCTAGGCTAGGGTTAGACATAGCCAAAGCTCTTTAAACCATCCCCCTCCTGGCTGACTGTTCGTTATAAAGCATCCTATACAATGCCCATGGCGAACTGAAGCCCAAAGGCCAAAAGGCTACACTGTAGTAGCTGAACACCTAGCAAGAGTCAGTGTGTTTGTTCCTAAATCTGTTTATATCACGTACATGTATACCATGTTACTTATAAGTGGGAAAATAAATAGCATGAGTGTTTCAGCAAAGGCTAAGTTGAACTCCTTGGAAAGAATTGTTAATACAAATCACCAAAAACTTGGTGTCAAATAAGCATAAGGAAAGGTGCTTGTAAAAAATGAAAGAATAATAAAAATCAAAAACCTTCTGAACCCAAACTTCTTTGAAAGTCTTAAATTATCGTTCCACTAAAAAAAAAAAAAGAAAAAGGAAAAGGCCAAAAGAGCTAGAATGGACACACAGTGCATCACAGATGTGACTTATGCATAGAAAACTGTGGAAAACTCTAAAGGAAAAAAACGTGAAGAAGAGGTCTTAGCCATATGTCAAAATCATGTCGACTTACAGTTCATTTTAAATTTTTTTTATTCTTTATTTTAATTGTATTTTAAAAAACTGATCCAACAACATGATTATGTCAAGAAAGATGGTTTATGCTGAGCCTGGGAATTTGGAAGCTGATGCTATTCTTCATGGCACATTCTCTGTATTCTATAGATTCTTAGTCAGCAATTACAAAGCCCAGGGGCCAAGCTCAAGGAGGAAACCAGGATGGGCTTAGATAGAGAATGAAGGTCTGTGTCAATGGGGAGGTGGTTCTGGACGGGGCCTAAATCCTAGGAAGATCCGGTAGACACAGGATGGGACACTGGAGAGAGTCTGAGGCCTAGGGCTGAGGTGGGAAGCAGGGATTAGTGTAACTAGCTGTCCCAAGCTTGTTGCTAAAGCCCGAATCCAGAGTCTAGTTGGCAGCAAAGAGACTTGAGCAGCAGGAGCTTGAAGACAATGGTAACTAGGAAGCCACAGGAATCTTGGGTAGACATCAGACTTTTTACAAGTGTGCAATGGGAGTTGAGGCCATAGCATCTAGATCTTAAGAAGTGTGGAAATCCGAGTAATACATTGATTATGTATTAGAATCCTATGATAAACTGAATTTCTTTCCACCTCTTTTCAGGTTATGGATCAACACACCACCTATATCTACTGCACACGTCCCTCCCTTTCACAGTGCATTAACTTCAGATGTGTGCTCTGCCTCTTTCTGTCTTCCCACCAAATCAAAAACAACTCATGTAAGCAATAGTAGACTCTGTGAAGTGCAGCCATCAGCTTTCCAAATTCACAGGCTCAACATAAACCCTCTTTCTTGACATGATCACGTTGTTGGATTACAGAGGGAGTAACGGGGAGGGAGAGGCTGGTGGTAACTTACACAAGGGAGCCAGTAGATCTGTCTGAGCCACTAGGTACCAGGAAGGTGACCTTCATTCAAATACTGCTACACAAGACTGGAGATGGTTAGGCCACAATGGTTATTGCCCTATGTATTGTCTTAGTTGGGAATGCCTCAGAAACTGGAGTGGTTCTCAGCCTACAGGTGGAGGAATGGCAGATTCAACTCATAGAAGGTGGAAGAGAAGAAAGAAAAGAATACACCCAGGGCTGCAGAGCCCATTTGTTGGGGCTTATCATGGATCCTTCCACCCCCTACCACCAGTGTCAGGTGTTTTCAGAACTGAGAAAAACCCTGGTGCTCAGAAAGGCTCTAGGACTCAGGATTCACAGGAGCTCAATGACTTCAGCTTGGGGTTCTGGACTCAGGTTCAAAGCTCAATGGGCTCAGGCTTCTGAGGAGCTTGATGGTGTTCAGCAGCTTTGTGAGCTTAGAGCAATTAGCACTATACAGGGTGTGTTTGTAGTTATACAGGCATCTGTGCCCAGCCTGAGCTCCTAAACATCATTTGGAAAGATGTTTCTATGGGAAAACCGTGCCTCCAAATGCAACTGTTCTTTCCCATGCACACATTGTTATGCACACTATGTTTTTTTATCTCATAAAGAGGAGAAAACAGAAATGATATTGAACTTGGGTTGGCTTGACATGAATGTCTCCCATATGGCATCCTTTCACACTGAATAATTCAACTTTGGGGAAACTGATGTCAGACAGCTGTGCACTTGTTCTGTTAATGCCATGGGACCAGAGGATGTCCCTATGGCTGGGCATGTAACCCTCTCTGAATGGAATGAACATTGATGGGGAAAAGCACTTTAAGAAGAGGTCAATCTGAGGCCCAAAATATAGCGAAACCTTTTTATAACCTACCAAAAGGAAATTAGAGGCTTCTCGGTGAAGAGGATTTTTGTGAAGTTGGTTCTGCCAGCAGCCTACAAGCTAAAGGTGGTGCCCATTTCTGGGAATGTTAACCTCAAAAGGCCAATAGCTGGTATAATATAGCTGGAGTCAGTGCCTAATTCCAAGTGGGTTTTTTTTTTTTGGCATGGGTACTGATCAGGAATATATAGTTTCCTGCATAACTCAATCTGAACCAAGCATTGCAGTTTTCCTCCTTGCCTTCCCTTCTGTGTGACACCTTGGTAAAAAAAAAAAAAAAAGTTAAAAAACAAAACCTACCCTGTTCTGTGTTTTTTTTTTTCCTCCCTTTAGTTCCACTCCCAACCCCCATCCCCCAGTGTCCTTCTTAGAGATAAATAATAAGGAAACATCTTTCATAGCCACATTAAATAAGAGAAAGTGATATACATTATTTTTTTTCTTCTTAAAGATGACTTATAAGAACCCTGGAATGCATAAAGGTGAGACAATAGAAATAAGATCTTTGGCCAGGACTTTCCAAAGCAGTTATTCTGCTAAAAATGGTCTTAGCTGTCTGACGAGCCAACTATTGACCCTCTTCATGACAGTATCAACACTGGCTTCTCCTGGTTCATTTTCTGCGTTGAGAAGTCAGTGGTAACTGCTGCGGGCTTATACATTCGTGGCTACTGGTTTAGAAAACAAAGACTGCAAGCCTGTGTGTGCCACTGTTTGCCTCAACAGTATATCCTACTAACAAGCCTCACCTGTTTAATCCAGTGAACTTTAAATCTAAATCTCATTCCCTTCCTTTTCCCCTACCTTTTTTCTTTTCTTTTTTCTTAAAATTTTTTTGTGTTATTAACAGAAATTCATATTTGCTGTGGCTTAGCTGTATTTCAGAAGGTCATCAGAAATACAGTGAGACTGCTTCCTTGAAACATTCTTGTGCTATTGTTCAAAAAGAAATAATAATTTAAAAACAGTTGGTGTTAATAAAAATGTCAATTTAAAAAACAGAGAAACTATGGAGGTAAACCTTATATAGAAGAGAAGGAAACACATTTCTCTGAATCTGGGGATCCATTTGGGTTAAGAATGATGTGTAGAGAGGTAGAAATATTCAGGGAGATGAAGACAAGCTATCTTTAGCCAAGTAGGAGATAGGCAGAGAGCTGATCTAGTAGAGCAGTACTCCCCAACCTTTTTGACACCAGTTTCGTGGAAGACAATTTTTCCATGGATGGGGTGGGGTGTGGTTTCAGAATCAAACAATTTCACCTCAGATCATTAAGCATTAGATTCTCATAAGGAACACACAACCAAGTCCCTCGCAGGCGCAGTTCACAATAGGGTTTGTGCTCCTATGACAGTCTAATGCCACCACTGATTGAGAGGAGGCAGAGCTCAGGTGGTAATGCTCACTCACCTGCTGCTAACCTCCTGCTGTGCAACCTGGTTCTCAACAGGCTGCAAGCTGATCCCGTCCACAGTTCAGGGATTGGAGACCCTTGTAGCAGAGGACCCAGTGCTGGGCTGTGTGTGGCTATCTGTTATAAATTATTATCTCTAGTGAGCTTCCTTTTAGTATTAGTCAAAACTCTAGGCCGCTTGTGATAAATCAAACTAGCTTAAAGCAAAAGTATAATTTATTGGCTCATCGGAGGGGCTGAAAAAACAAACAGGAGAAGCAAGGATGAAGGTAGAAATCAGGAGCATCTGATCTGAACCCAAGGACCTGAATGCCTCCAAGGCTCCTGTCTCTCATTACCACTTCTACCTGCATGATAATATTCTGTTTCACCACTGGTGTCTTCATGTAGCAGTGAACATGGTCACTGTCAAGTCTTAACTTTTACATCTTACAACGACTGCTATCAAAGAGAAGATGGCCAGGGTCTTTCTCTTAGCCCAGGGAGGAAGGGTCAATTCTTAACTGTCCCTGTCAGGAGCACTTCATCCCATACAGTCACTCACTTTTTCGTGATCCCCATAGCAGGCATCATGAGTTGAATTTATTTTATTTACTTAATATGTCTACTTTGTCTTATTAACTGACAAAAATTGTTTATATTTATAATGTACAATATGATACTTTGATGTATGTATACATTGTGGAATGGCTAAACCAAGTGAATTCGCATATGTATTATTTCACATACTTTTTTTGTGGTGGATACACTTAAAACCCAGTATGTCTACTATCTATCTTCCCTGACTGGCATGTAAATTTATGAGAGTAGACACATTTCTGACTGGTTCACCACTAGATCCCCAGCACCAAAACAATATTTTGGCTGGACATGGCTGCTCATGCCTATAATCCCAACACTTTGGGAGGCCAAGCTAGGAGAGTTGCTTGAGGCCAAGAGTTCAAAACCATCTTTGTCAAAATAGTGAGACCCCATCTCTAAAAAAGAAATTTTTAAAAAAATTAGCTGGTTGTGATTGCATGTGCCTGTAGTCCTAGCTTCTTGGGAGGCTGAGGCAGGAGGATCTCTTGAGCCTGGGAGGTCAAAGCTACAGTAAGCCATGATTGCACCACTGCACTCCAGGCTGGATGACAGAACGAGAACTTGACTCAAAAGAAAAAAAAAAGGAAGACAAGAAAAAACAATACTTTGGTATTTCTTAAGAGCTACTCAAGAACTACTTCTAACTCAACATATAAGAAATCCAGTAAAAATCATGTTCTTGAAAAAAATGACTATGATAAAGGAAAATAAGTAGATAAAAAATCTCCAGGCCGGGCACAGTGGCTCATGCTTGTAATCCCAGCACTTTAGGAGGCCAAAGCAGGTGGATTGCCTGAACTCAGGAGTTTGAGACCAGCCTGGGTAACACAGTGAAACCCCATCTCTACTAAAATACAAAAACTTAGCCAGGTGTGGTAGCATGCACCTGTAGTACCAGCTACTTGGGAGGCTGAGGCAGGGGAAGCAGTTGAAATCCAGAAGGCAGAGGTTGCAGATTGTGCCACTGCACTGTAGCCTGGGAGACAGAGCAGACTCCATCTCTAAAAAGAAAAGTTTTTAAATCTAATATAATCTGAATTTATAAATAAGCTTAGCTTTAAAGTGCAATATCTCAAATGGGAAGATAAAATCCACAGCAACTCATCAGACTATAGGGCTACTGCAAACCCTTATTCCATCCAAAGATAATGAGGAAGGAAAGAAAAAAAAAGAGAGAGAGAGAGATGTTGTGCCCCATGTAGAGTTGTCAGATAAAATGCAGGATTCATAATGTTTATTTTCAGATAAACAACAAATACTTTTTTAGTATAAGTATGTCCCAAATATTATATATTAAATAATACTAAAAACATACTTATTGTTTCTCTGAAGTTCTAATTTAACTGGGAATCCTGTGTTTGTTTTTGCTAACTCTGGTAGCCCTAGTCTCCCTGGTGCCCACCCAGGGAGCCCCAGTGGTGCTGAAGTAGCAGTGTGAAACACAGAATGAGAACAGAAGACAGGACCTTGGATTGTTCTGGCTTCAGGCTGATACGGAAGGAATGTTCCAGCTGTTCCTGCGTGCTCCCAGCAGAGGAGGTACACAGTGGCTGAAAGTTATTCCCAGAGTGGAAGCTGAGGAGTGGGAAGCCCAGGCCAGCTTCTGGGCAACTCATGGCCAGGACTCAGAGGATCTGTTGTGGGGCAGAGCCTTTAGGAAATGGACCCCTTGACACAGGAGATGGGCCCCCGATCAAGCCCAGAAATGTACCCCTGAGTGATGCCAGCTTGGACCCCAGAGCTAACCCTAGCAGCAAACCAGAAAAGACAACAGGCATCTCTGAACAGAGTCTATGGATCTTCCCCAATCACTAGGAAGATTTAGATGCCATATTGTGGAGAAAGGAAGGGGGCAAATCTTTGAGAAGAGAACAAGGCACGGTAAGGAATTTAAACCTCAATATTTATATAGCCTGTAAGGGAAATGACTGCTGTGTAGTCAGGAATAGGCTGAGGCAGCCTTCAGGCACAGCTTGGCTCAGCAGGTTTGGAGTGCAGGTACACAACTCCGCACGTTATGTAACCATGCCACATAGGGCTTATTAGGTGATCATCCACGTGAGCTCATGCTTGGCTTGGAGCCACTATTGTCTGTATAAGGTATAATTACCTTGTCCAAGCTCACACCCAGGCTTGCACTCATGGCTTGCTTGTGCCCACCACTCATGCCCGAGCTTACTCACACCCAAGGAAAGAGTAAAAGCCATGTGGAAACTATAGTTCCTTGAGATTTTTACAGCTACATGCCATTTGTCCATGCACTCTCCGTGGTCCTCAGCTTGGACTAGAACCTGACACTTGGCATCACATAGCCCCCAACAGTGTTTCACACCAAGTTTGTTATCTTTCTGCCATCAGTGGAAATGCAAACATCAGAGAAATACAAAAACTAATACAGAAAATGAAGAGCATCACCATTTCTTCATCTAAGCATCCATCTACACATCCATTAGTGGATAGGGAAGTCTTCCTAGGGACAGAACTGATCATTTAAGAGCCTTCCTTCAAATATAGAAAGAAAAGCACCCTGAGCATGGGCTGAAAAGATAGGAATAAGATAAGAATTTAAATCTTCCCTACACCAAAGTAATCAGAATTTTAGAACTTCCTCCCCAGGAGAGATTTGAGAGTTCTGGCCGAGGAGGAGTGATCCTTGGATAGGAGCAAGCTTCAGGAATATGATGAAAACTTTAGGCCAAAGAAAGAAGCAGCCTGTGTAAATATTCCCTTGTACAAGATGGCCCAGGGATATTTAAGATCAGGCATGCCTAATTGTCCATCATAACTTGTTCTCTGTTCTGGGCAGGACTATTATCTAAGGCCCTGTCCATTAACTGCAAGCCCTCAGGGAAATCCACTGAACATAAAAAGCTGTGGTAGAGTTACTACAGACCTTAAGGCTCAACAGTGAAAGCGTGAATTGCCTTCCAGATTGTGCAGTGCACAACCTGCACACTCATACTTGGTAACCCTAACTGGACTGGAAATGAAGAAACCTTCCTTCTTCAAAGTATATTAAAACAAGATGGCCCTCAAGAGGGAGGATAAGGAAGACCAAATTGTACTATTACCTGTACTATTACTATTCAAAAGGAATATGATACAATAAAATGTTATTATCTGTAGGTGCTATAATAGTGACATTTGGGCCAGGCACAGTGGCTCTCACCTGTAATCCCAGCACTTTGGGAGGTCAAGGTGGGCAGATCACCTGAGGTTGGGAGTTTGAGACCAGCCTAACCAACATGGAAAAACCCTGTCTCTACTAAAAATACAAAATTAGCCAGACTGGCGGTGCATTCCTGTAATCCCAGCTACTTGAGAGGCTGAGGCAGGAGAATTGCTTGAACCCAGGAGGCGGAGGCTGTGGTGAGCTGAGATCATGCCATTGCACTCCAGCCTGGGCAATAAGAGGGAAACTCCATAAAGGAGACTTTTTAGTGCAAAATAGTGTACTAATCTCTGTTAGTTTTGATGTCAGGAAGAATGATTAAGAATAAAAGAAATTATCACACCCTAGACAAACAGCAGTAGTTATGTCATGGCTGGTACCCAGCCTCTCATCTCTGGATGCCAGCTGGGGTCTGAGTCAGCTGATATTCCACTTGCCTTGGTGCCTGGCTCAGGAGTTGGGAGGTCCGAGCCTCACCTGACAGATGCCAGTGCCAATAACAAGGATGAGAATGCCGGCAGTGTGGTGGTGCTTGGGAAGGAGGATAGGACTGTGATGAGGGAGGACAAACGTGGCAGCAGAACCCAGCCACATTTTGTGTTTGAGGATAATGCTGAGACATGTGTAGTTTACCACAGCAGAGACTGATCAAACTGCTCTAAATGTTAAGCAAAAGTCATGGAATGAGGAAGTGTTTCCATATTTTTATCTAGTACTTCTTTCTAATTTGCTTTCATCACTCTTTGTAAAAACTGTACGTCAAAACTAGCAGATGTTTGCATCCTACAGTTTTTAATTTCTAAAGGGCCTTAGAAGCTATGCAATTCTACTACCTCCTTTTACAGATTGCAAACGTGGGCCTCAGAGAAAAGAAGGGTCAGAGCCAGAATTCCATAGAGTTAGGTTCTGCAGAGAAACAGCACCAAGACAATGTGCATTCATAGATATATAGATATATATTAGATAGATATACCTCTCTCTCTCTCTCTCTCTCTCTCTCTCTCTCTCTCTCTGTCTCTGTCTCTCTCTCTCTCTCTCTTCCTGTATTTACATATAAAGCGTTTCATTTTAAGAAATTAGCTCATGTGATTAGGAAGGCTGCTGGTAAGTCCAAAATCTTCAGGCAGGCTGGAGACCCAGGGAAGAATTGATGCTGTAGTTCAAGTTCGAAGGACATCAGGCTGAAGACCCAGAAAAAAGCCAGTACCGTAGCTCAAGCCCAAAGGCTGTCTACTGGCAGAATTTTTTCTGACTGGGAGGAGGGTCAGTCTTCTGTTCTATTCAGGCCTTTGACTCATAGCATGAGGTTGCCCCCATTAGGAAGGGAAGTCTTCCTAACTCAAAGTCTACCAATCCAAATGTTAATCTCAACCCAAAACACCATCACACAAATATCCAGAATAACGTCTGACCACACATCTGGGCACCATGGCCCAGCCAAGGTGACACATGAGATTAGAAGTGGAAATGGAATTGAAACTCAAACTTCCTGACTCACAAAGCTCTGTCCACTTGGTCATGTGGCCCCAGTAAGATTCATGCATTGAAACAATAAATGCTGGAGTCTTAACATTTCCAAAGAAGAAGCTGGAGGTAGTGAAATGTTATACTTAACAAATGTATGTATTTGGGTGCTTTAAGTGATTTTTCTCAGCAATACGTCTACCTAGACACACTTCAAACCAATGAAGGAAAAAAAAAACACGTAATTTAAAGAAACCGAATGCAAGACTCGCAGTTCTATGTACCCCCTGAGCATCCCAATCCTACCGTAAAATAACGGTAGGATTC